GCGAACGTTGGAGTCTGCAGCAAGCAAGCCTCGTGCTCGCTTCAGTGCCTGGCTGCCGGCCGCCATCTTGGCTGACAGTTAATTTGCATATACTCACTGATTAGCCAATGAAAAGGGTAGCGGTCATACGTTAATTACCATGTTTCTCTTTTATTAGTGTAGATATAGATTCCATGTTATGATACACCACATCTGGTTTATCCACTCTTCCATTGTTGGGCATTTATGTTGCTTTCCACCCTTTGGGTCTTATCAATAATGTTTCTATAAACATTTCTGTACACACATTTGTCTGAATACCTGTTTTTAATTCTGTTGGGTATATTATACCTAGGAGTGGAATTGCTGGATCATATCAAGAGGTGTGACCCTGGCAAGTTGCTTGTCCTCTTTGAGCCACCTCTATAAAATAAGAATATTCCTCTCTGTCTGAAGTTGTGTGTGGGAGGGGGGATTATTAGATTCAATGAAGTGCATCATGGGCATAGAGCACATGGTAGCAACTCAATAAATATGAGTGGCCTTAATGTCCCAATCTCTCCAATGAGTTAGATGGGCTTGCCTCAACTCCTTTTGGAGTGAGGCACTCCTAGGACCCGGTTAGCATGCCTGACACCCATCTTTTTCTTTTTTTTTAATTATAGCAAAGCTTCATATTTAATCAGGAAAATAAATGATTTTTACAGAGTGAGATAAAATTAAAAGGTCATTTGAGCTTACTTCCCACATCCTAGCAATTGCTGTTAACTGATAGCAATTTTGCTGACACCCATCTTTTGAGAGAATATCAAATGGTCCATGGGTACAAAAACCCATCCAGGGTCCCCAGGTTAAGAACCTCTTACTCGGGGCTCTCCTTTGGTTACTAAGCTCTGGCAACAGCTTCCTTTCAGTTGCTCCAGTGCATCCCCACCCAAGGAGTTTCCTCTGTCCAGAATGGCCTCTCCCAGATCTCACTATGATTGGCTTCCTCTCATCATTCTGATCTCACCTGGAAAGTGCAATGACCACTCACTTTCCATTTAAAAGGGCTGCTCCACCACCCCCTGGTTCTCCAGAACATCACTGTGCTCTATCTTTTAGGCAGATCCATCAGTGCCTGGAATTGCCTTGTTGGTGTGTCTTTTTATCTAACACTAGAGGCCTGGTGCACAAAATTTGAGGGGGGATCCCTCAGCCTGGCCTGTGCCCTCTCACAGTCCAGGAGCCCTCGGGGGATGTCCATCTGACAGCTTAGGCCTGCTTCCCGCCACCGCCGCTGCACTCGCCAGCTGTGAGCCTGGCTTCTGGCTGAGCGGTGCCTGTACACTGACACCAAAAGGCAGCTTCTGCATTGTGCGTCTGCCCCCTGGTGGTCAGTGCGCATCATAGCGACCTATCATTCTGCCGTTTGGTCGATTTGCATATTAGCCTTTTATTACATAGGATGTGTCTCCTCATTAGGGCAGGGACTTTGTATGTCTTTGTTGTCTTGTGTCCCCAGGGACTGGCGTAAGACATATAGTAGAAAATGTATATTTGTTGAAGAGATAAATGAGTGAATGAATGAATAGGTGGGATGATTGGAAGAATGATGGGATGATTTGGATAGATAAATGAATAGACAAATGGATGGCTAAATATGGACGGATGAATAATCCTATCTAATAAAGAGGGAATATGCTAATTGACCCTTGCCATCGCAAAGATGGCGGTGCTCACAGCCAATATGGAGGGAATATGCTAATTGACTGTCCCACCCTCAAAGATGGCGGCGCCCCCAGCCACAAGATGGTGGTGCCCAGTCCCCTCAGCCGCACGCCTGCCTTGGGAGTCCCCTAGTCCCCTTAGCCCCCCAGCCACCCAGGGCCAAATCGAGGCACAGGCAAGCCTCAGATGGTGGCTGCCCAGTTGCCCAGGGCTGGCCAAGGCAGTGGCAGCAGCAGAGGTGTGATGGGGGTGTCGCCTTCCCCTGATCACTGGGTCACTTCCCGTGCCTGAGGGCTCCTGGACTATGAGAGGGGGCAGGCTGGGCTGAGGGACACCCCGCCCCCGCCGCGCATGAATTTCATGCACCAGGCCTCTAGTGGATAAATAATTGGGTAAATGGATGGATGGAAAGGTGATTGAATGATTTGGATGGATAAATGAATAGACAAATGGATGGCTAAATATAAATGGGTGGGTTAATAGAGGAGAGGGATAGATAGTTAAATAAATGGATAGAAGGATAATAGGGGATGGATGAATGGATAAGTGGATGGATGAATGGATGTTTCAATGAATGATTCAATGGATGATGGATGGATGAATAAATTAAAGGATGAGTATATGGATAGATGTTTATCAGACTCCATGATAAGCACTTTACATGCCTTATCTTGTTTTATCCACACAGAAATTTCATGAAGGAAGGAATATTTCCATTTTATAGACAAGGGGTTTGAACTTCAGATGTAGGAAAAATCACTTCCCCCAGATGATACAACTAGGAAATGGTGGAGCAGGATTCAAACTTAGGTCTCCTAACTCCACGCCCTGTGTTCTTAACCACAATGAAATACATATTCCCCTTCTCCCCTTGCTTTGAGAGCCTATACTGGCCACCCCAGTTCCCCTCCGTGCCCCACAGCATCCAGATTGCCCATCCAGGTGTCCATGTTGCTCTGCTGTCAACCAGTGGGATGGCCACACTGTCCATGTGTGAGCGTGTGTGGAGGCCTGCAAGGTCTCTGCATGCGTGAGTGAGGGTGGAATGAGGTTACCGGAAAACATGTCCATTCTTAAGGGTGGGCCCTAAGTACCAAGGACAGTGCAAGGCCAAAGTCAGGTCCAAAGAGTCTGGTAGTGACTGCCACTATGAGTAAGCTGCATCTGGCCCAAGGTCATCCCAGTAGAAGCCATGTAATCATAGCAGCTGGTGGCCCAAGCCCCAGTAGAGGTCATCCCAGTAGAAGCCATGTAATCATAGCAGCTGGTCATCTAGTCCCTCCAGGTTGTGTGACAACAGGGTGGCAGTGAACACAAGCATGAGGAGGAGATGAAAGAGAACAGGGCAGGTCAGGAAGGGGAGCTATGCCTGGCAGCCCTGCAGGGTCATCAGTCTGCTGCTCTGAGAAGTCTTGATGTCCATCCCCTGCCTTGGAGTGGGGTCATGCAGGACAAGGAGGATGAGGAAAGGGAGCTGGAGGAAGAACTGTGTGTGCTCTCAGACTCCCGATCTAAGCCTCTCTCCTCAAGACACAGGTGAGTTGGCTGGTGGTTGGGGAGTCCAGAGACCGGCAGACTTCAGCAGTTCTTGTGGTCACCAGTGATTTCCACGTAGGGCAGCCCCACGGGCCACGTGTCCCGAGGCCAGTAGCGGACTTTGAGGGTTTGGTTTGGCATCTCATACCTGGCGTCCACCAAGGCCATGGTGACCATGCCATAAGGGAAGGTGATGCTGATGAACAAATGCCTGTAGGAAGCAGGGAGAGGGTAGTGAGGGTGCAAAATGTCCCTGGGGCAAGCTGGATGTCCCCAGCCCCACCTGGGTCCTGATCATCCAAAGGAACCTTCTGGAACTCACCCCCTGATTGCTACCAGTTGCCCCCCGCCCCCAAACACACAAGACCCAGTATTGGTGCCATCACTTTATGTCCCCAGGCTGATGCCCCACGCTCTGATATCTGAGATTTTTCTGGTTCTGGGGCCCCGGCCCACAGGGTAGGTGCTTACCAGATGCTGTGCATGTAGGAGAAATTAATCTGCTGCCAGAAACTGCAAAGGAAGCGGTCACTGATCCAGCTGGTCAATGCAAAAGCCCACAAAACCACGGAGACCTCAATGAGATGTCGAAGCTCCTTATTACTGGTCCTAGGGAGGGCGAAAGGGAGATGAGAGCCTGACTCCGAGTGGAGTGTGTAGGGGCTGATGGGAAATTCCTCCACCAAGGAGGTGAGGCTGGGAAGAGGGAAAGATCCAGGGTGCCAGGGGGAGGGGCCTCATCTGTGTTTATGACTAACGTTTGCAGAGCACTTACAGGATGTCAAGTGCAGTCAACAAGTCCTTTGGGTAGAAACTTAGTCCTCACAACAATGCTAATATTCCCATTTCATAGGATGGTGAGAAAACTGAGACCCATGAGATTAAGTTATGCCCCAACCCCACCCCACGGTTACTAGGGGCAGAGCTGGGGTCTGAACCAAGGTTGTCAGATTGCAGAAATGTTCTTTTTTTTAAGATATGTTTTTTATTAATTTCAGAGAGAGGAAGAAAGAGAGAGAGATAAACATCAATGATGAGAGCGAATCATCAATTGGCTGCCTCCTGCACACCCTCTCCTGGGGATCGAGCCTGCAACCCAGGCATGTGCCCTGACCAGGAATCAAACCGTGACCTCCTGGTTCATGGGTTGGCACTCAACCACTGAGCCACGCCAGCCAGACTGATTGCAGAATTCTTCACCAACAAGCCTTTCTGTGTTTGTGCGTTTGTGTGTGGGGGTGTGTGTGTGTGTGTGCATCTGTGAGTCAGTGCTTGAAAATTCTTGTCTGGGTGGCTGTGAGAATGTGTGTGTCTGTGAATGGGAGGGTGATTCTCTGACGGCCATGTCCTGGGACAACTCAGGAAGAGAATCTGTTTCCCTGATGGCAGTGCTAACCCAGTGTCCCTTAGCAAAGAGCGTATCGGGGATTAATAAGGCAGAAACTCCTTTGTGGTTAAAATCACAGGCCCTGCCCGCTGGCCTAAAATGAGACAGTTTGAACAACAGAAAAGCATAATGAGTAAGAACTGGTGAAATCTGAATAAAGTCCGTGGTCTCAATAACAGTATTGTCCCATTGTCAATTTCCTCCTTTGGAAGTTGTACTGAGGTCACATAAGATGCTGCCACTGGCGGCGGGGCGGTGGGAGGGGTGGGGGCTGGAGGAAGCTGGAGGAAGGGTACATAGGACTCTGTACTGTTTTTGCAACTCACTATGAGTCCATAATTGTTTCAAAATAAAAAGTAAAAAATGTAGCAAAGTGACCCAAATGGGTTAAAACACTTCAGAAATGTAAACATCCTTGATTTCATAACAACAAAACTTAGAAACAAAACCAACTTCATTGGGCCCTGCTAGAGACTTAGGGCTAAGGCACTGAATCATCACTCTCAGAAATAATGGAAAAGGATCAATGGTCTCTCCTGTCTTCTCTGTTCAAACTCTCTATTTCAAGGTTGATGTGTGAAAGCCTTTGATGGAAGAACTCCAGCTAATCAATGCAGAGGGAGTAATAGAATCTGCAAACCACCCTTTTGCACCCCCTAATGAGATCACGGATGGAGGCAGGGGCATCAGTGGCTGCTGAAGTCATTGGGTGACAGGTCAGTGGAAAACTTTCTAATACAGGTGGCATCATTCAAATCCCCTAATCCACCTTAACAGCACTAAATGTGTGGTACCCACTCATTCGGCAGTCCTAATGGGAGGGAACAAGGAGCACCCAGCATTGCACATGAAATATCCTGGCCTAAAAAAATGTAAACCTGCCCTAACCGGTTTGGCTCAGTGAATAGAGCGTCGGCCTGCGGACTCAAGGGTCCCAGGTTCGATTCCAGTCAAGGGCATGTACCTTGGTTGTGGGCACATCCCCAGTAGGGAGTGTGCAGGAGGCAGCTGATTGATGTTCTCTCTCATTGATGTTTCTAACTCTCTATCCCTCTCCCTTCCTCTCTGTAAAAAATCAATAAAATATATATATATATTTTTTAAAATGTAAACCTGAGCCCTGAGTGGGAGCTCAGTTGGTTAGACCATCGTCCCGAGGGCTGAGATTGTGGGTTCAATCCCGGTCAGGGCACATACAAGAATCAACCCACGGCCCTAACTGGTGTGGCTCCATTGGTTGGGTCTCTCCCATGCACAGAGCACATGCCTGAGTTGCAGGCTCGATCCCAGGTAGGGGGTGTGCAGGAGGCAGCCGATTGATGTTTCACTCTCATATCGATGTCACTCTCTCTCCCTCTTCCTTCCTCTCTCTCTAAAAATCAACAAAAAATATATTTTTTTAAAAAGAATCAACCAATGAATGAATAAATAAGTGGAACAACAAATCGATGTTTTTCTCTCTCTCCCTAAAATCAATAAATGAAAAATGTTAACCTGAATCTAGATCTAACTATTAATTTGCAGGAAATACAAAAGATAAGGAAACACATTGAAAGATGCCATAGGAAGCAGTCAGTCAAATCCAGAATGTGGATGTTCTATAGGCAAATGACCAAGGGGTGTTATTAATAGACATGAGCAAAAGGAGAGGTGGGGGACTGATATGAAATAAAGACCAAAGGTTTGGATCCTGACTTAAAGAAAACCAGGTGTAAGAAGCATCTTTGAGAAACTGAGCAAACGTCGATGAGAACTGGGTACTGGATACTATTTTAAGGAAGTCTCATTAACTTTGTTAGAAGGGTGTGTGCCATATCTCCATTTGTCCCTTTAGAACAGGGGTCCTCAAACTTTTTAAACAGGGGGCCAGTTCACTGTCCCTCAGACCGTTGGAGGGCCGGACTATAGTTTAAAAAAAACTATGAACAAATTCCTATGCACACTGCATATATCTTATTTTGAAGTAAAAAAACAAAATGGGAACAAATACAATATTTGTATTTGCATGTGGCCCGCGGGCCGTAGTTTGAGGACCCCTGCTCTAGAATTTCCCTACCCTTCCTCACCCTGCCCTATGACCTGGAGGCTGGAGGGGGCAGTGCTGGGTTGTGTGGACCAAATCCAGAGTTTCCTTATCTTTGGTCTTCCAGTTGGGTTGGCCAATAGGGAGCCCCAGCAAGAAACCAAAGGGTGAGGGAAGGTCCTGTTAGGTTTATTTTCAGAGCTCCCTCTCTGTGGGGTTGGCTCAGGCTGGCTGCAGCCGGCAACTGGAAGTCACAGCTCTGGCCAAGGAGACCTTGCGGGCTCTCTCCTTCCAGATTCTTGCCATCAGCCCTTCCCATGACCCCTCGCCCCAGATCTCCTGATGGTCATAGAATCTCACTCTTATTAGCACAGGGGTTTTAAATGATTCCTAGTGATTTCCCTACACCCTGCCCTCTCCTTTGTAAATTACCCTTTCATTCAAGTCTCCTCAAATGGCCCCATTTGAGAGTTTCTCCTCTATCCTAGTAAGACATAGTATGGTGTTAAAAAGTAAGAATTCTGGCCCAGCCGATGTGGCTCAGTGGTTGAGCGTCAACCTATGAAACAGGAGGTCACGGTTTGACTCCTGGTCAGGACACATGCAGGGGTTGCGGGCTCAATCCCCAGGAGGGGGCGTGCAGGAAGTAGCTGGTGGATGATTCTCTCATTGATGTTTCTATCTCTTCCTCTCCCTTCCTTTCTGAAATCAATAAAAATACATTTTTTTAAAAAAAGTAATCATTCTTTCTTGATAAAGTGAAATCCTGAAAAGTCAATGAGTGCCCTGATATGAAATCTGACGGGGAATATATAACACAGGTTGGCAAAATGTTGATGGTTGTTGGGGCTGGTTAGTGGACACATGGAGGTTTATGGTGCAACATCTCCAGTTATATACATGTTGAGGGATTCATAAGAAAAAAGGACAAGCTCTGTAGTCAGACAACCTTAGGTCCAAATCCTGGCCCTGCCCCCTCTTTGTGGATGATCTTGAGCATGGAGTCAACAAGAACTCAGTGCCTGGCCCTGGCTGGTGTTGCTCAGTGGCTAGAGTGTCGGCTCAAACACCGAAGAGTCCTGGGTTCAATTCCTGGTCAAGGGCATGTATCTGGGTGGCAGGTTCGGGATGAGTACGGGAGGCAACAACTGATGTGTCTCTCTCACATAGATGTTTTTCTCCCCATCTCCCTCCCTTCCTCCCTCTCTTCCACTCGAGAGGGTGGCTCTGGAGGGGGGGTGGGAGCCACCCTCCTGGGTGCCTGCAGTTACCACCCACTTCTTGTACTCCTGGAACACGATGTAGAGGATATGCACGGCGATGCTGTTGAGGGCATATGCGTTCACCGTAGGCCTCAGGAAGGACAGGAAGGTACTGACCATGGTGGCGATGACAACCAGGCAGATAAACTGGGGCCTGGAGGGAGAAGGGCTCAGCTGTGAGGTGGCTGGAAAGGGTCCTTGGGAGGGGGTTGGGCAGGTCACATGGAGATCTTGTGGCAGAGGTGGGTGAGAAAAGGGGAAGGGTTCCAAGGAGCCCAACTGAGCTCAGAGACAGGTCTTGGAACTCCCAGGTGGGCTCAGCAGAGGATCTCAGGGCCCAGGTGAGTCAGTGAAGGGTGCCAGGGCCCAGGTGAGGTCAGGCAAAGAATTCAGGGAGGGCCCAGGTGGGATTAAGGAAAGAAATGCAGGGTCTCAGAAGCTATCACCTGAGGGGTCTTAGAAGGCTCAGAAGAGTCAAGCAGGGTCAGGAGAGAATTTCAGAGGGGTCTCAGGTCAAAAGGGAGGATCATATATAACATTTCAGGGAACCCAGTTGATAGACTCAGGGGATAGTTCCCAGGGGCCCAGGTAAGCTTAGGGATGGGTCCTAAGACACCCCCCGCCCCCAGGTGAGCTCAGATAGGGTCTAGAGAAGGTCCCAGACTATCTGGGGAGGAATTCTAAGAGTTCCGAGTACACTTAGAGGGGTGGCTTGGGAGCCCAGTTAAGTCAGGCAGGGTCAGGACAAAGTTCTGGTGTAGTCAGGGGAGGGATTTCGAGGGCCACCACAGGGCTCAGGGAGAGGACACAAGAGCCCAGGTGGGCTCTAACAGAATCACCAGAGGGCCAGCTCCCATCCCACCTGTTTTCCCCTAGGAAGGTGGGAAAGTAGCAGCGGGGCATCCATATGCTGTAGCCACCAGCCAGCAACCACAGAATAGAGATCTCGTCCAGCAGTTGGCCCAGGAAGCTGAGCGTCATGTGGAAGTACATGGAGAACAGGCCTGGAGCAAGAGACAAAGGCAGGTGGTCAAGGAGGTGTTCCTTCCCACTCCCCTGGCCCCACTGTCACAGGCCCCACCTACCTATGACCATGAAGAGGACACAGAGGGCATAAATGGAGCGGGAGCGTTTCTGGGCATAGGGGTGCATCAGGAACATCATGAGAGGCCCAAAGATGAAGAAGGTGACATTGCTGAACTGGAGAAGAGGAGGACATGGGGAGGGGGTGTCAGACAAGGGAGGCAGAGGAGGGCTGGCCCTCTGTTAAAACCCTCAGTCATTAGCCAGTTGGTCACCTATCCCCTTTCAGGTAATGAATCAACCCAGAGTTTGTCAAGTCTTTCAGCTCATCTTTACAGTCAATGGGTCATCAGTAGATCCATAACTCCATCCATTATCCTGTGGATTCATTTGTTCATTCAATGGGTGTGGCAAAGACTATCTACTAACATTCTACCTACATTCTCCCCCCTTTTCCTTATAAGAATAGTATCCCAAGTTTAGCTAGGCACACAGCTACTCAGCTCAAGACTACATTTCCCAGTCTTCCTTGCAATACACGGTGCCCTTGTGACCTGGTGTGGCAAATGAGATAGGAATGTAAATGAATCTACTACTTTCAGGTCAGTTTTTATTAAGCAGCTTAAGGCTTGCATTCCACTTCCTGTGGACCAAAATGCATCTGAACCTGTGTCTTAAGTTATGTGCACCCCCTTTCTTCCTTGCTAAATAAACCTGAATTATGTTCAAGCATCTGGAGGACAAGCTTTCAGGGAAGCAGGATTTGGCCCCAAGGAATGGATCACTCCCATTGCCTGCCAATGGTATTTATTGAGGAATAAATGTGTGATATAATTCTGGCCATGAAACATGATGGAAGTTCTGATGAGGGACTTCTGGGAAAATCCTCTTTACTGAAATCAGGCCCAGGGAAAAGGACTTGGGACGTTATTGTGATGTTTAAGATGTGGCAGCTCCTTTGCAACCATGAGGAAACTAGGCTGAAAGCAAAAACAGATACTTGAGAAGAGTAGTTCTCAAACTTTTTGGTCTCAAGACCCTCTTACATTCTTAAACATTATTGAGGACCTCAAAGGCCTTCTGCTTATGGGAGTTACATCTAGCAAGACTGACTATATTAGAAATTGAATCTAAGACTATTTCAAAATATCTTACTACACAAGCATACATTCCCTTGGCCATCAGAGAGATGATGCCATCATACATCATGTGGCCACCGAAAGATTCCATTGTATTCTTGTGAGATCATCAAAGTGAAAAGAAAGCAAATAATATCTCCACATTATTATGAAAATAATTTAGACTTCAAGGAATTTCTGAAAGGGCGTACGGGACCCCAGGGAGTCCCCAGACAATATTTTGAGAAACACTTCTCTAGAGATATCAGAGCAGAAAGATGAAAAGATCCAAGAGGCCTGATGATGTTGAGCTGCTGAGTTAAGCTATTCCAGAACCATTTACATCAGAACTTCTATTTAAATAATAAGAAGAAGATATTGTTCTTTCTGTTTAAGCTGCTTTTAATTGGGTGTTTCATTTGAAACCAAAGCTTTCCAGTTCATGGGCTTTAGGATCGAAGTAACATGGAATTGGATTCATGCTACCTCACTAATTGTGGGGCCTTGAGAAGGCAACTTCAATGCCCTAGCCCTTTATCTCTACACTAGAGGCCTGGTGCATGAAATTCGAGCACTTTACGGGGGGGTCCCTCAGCCCTTGGGGGATGTCTGATGGCTTAGGCTCGCTCCCCATGGGGAGCCAGCAATCAGACATCCTTAGCGCTTCCATGGAGGTGGGAGAGGCTTCCGCCATCGCCACTGCACTCAGCAGCCATGAGCCTGGCTTCTGGCAGAGCGGCGCTCCCCTTGTGGGAGTGCACTGACCACCACGAGGCAGCTCCTGCGTTGAGCATCTGCCCCCTGGTGGTCAGTGCATGTCATAGCGACTGGTTGCATGGCCTTAGCATGTCATTAGCATATTATGCTTTGATTGATTGGATGGCCGGACAACCAGACACTTAGCTAGCATATTAGGTTTTTATTATATAGGATTTGTGACATATGCACAATGTCACCTGCCTCTTCATGCTGTTGATCCAAATGTCCCCACTAGCCCAGTGGTCGGCAAACTGCGGCTCGCGAGCCACATGCGGCTCTTTGGCCCCTTGAGTGTGGCTACGTCGTTTCAATCGCATTGTACATGCGTGCCCGCACGTGGTATTTTGTGGAAGAGCCACACTCAAGGGGCCGCAGTTTGCCGACCACTGCACTAGCCTATGAGTACAATTAAGGTCACAAGAATATTTGCACCAGAATTTCAATGGTTCAAAAATCACTAAGTCTGACACAGGACTTCAAAAGTCTCCCCCAGGTAGATTGGGGCCACAGTGAGTATGTCACATGAGCTCAGAAACAAGTGTTCTCGTGGTTTTCTTGACCCGCCAATTTGAGGTCAGCCATCTAGCTTGCTCAATTACACCCTTGCCTCCCTGATAAACTCTTCCTCTTGTAAAGGTCTTCTCCGTCGTCTGTGTCCCATCTTAGTGAAGGAGCTGTGCCCTGTTAACTAGGGTGCTCTGTTATTTTTTCAGAACTCTGGTCTTGAGGATGATGACTCAAGAATACAGAACACAGTGGTGGGTGGGGGGGAACTCATTCACCTGATACAATGTCACCATCTATGAGCCTAGGGCCTGGGAGCCTATAAAGGTTCCCAAGGGAGGCGTCCTCCTGATTCCTGGGAGCCCACGGCTCTCCTTGGGTCACAGTGGAGCCAGCTCAAAGGTCACGAGTGGAGGACCCAGCGTTGGAAAACTGGTTTCCAAGCCCTTGGTCCCACCCACATGCTTGTTTTCTATGCCAAGGTCTCTTGTGCCTATGAATGGACAAGGTCCCACACACTTCTGGGACAGACACTGGTTCACAATGGCAACCCTAGAACAGATACACACCTGCCTTGTCTGTATCATGACATCCCACCCCACTGCAGCAGACACCTATCCCAAACAGGGCCAATCAGATTTTCTCTTTGGGGAATTTAAAACCCGAGGCAGACACAGAGCCTGGGAGTTACCAAAATTGAGTCTCACAGTTGACAGCTCTAGCAAGGCCTTGGGATATTGTCATGATGTTTAAGATATGGGAGCCATCTTGCTACCAGGAGGAGATGAGGTGGAGAATAAAAACAAACACACAAGGGTAGTATTTCCCCTTCTGCTGGATCCTTCAGTCCTGCACTAGGCCCCAGCTCGACCAAGCAACTCATCTGTCCATTTTCTAAAATATCGCAGTATTTTTCTAATGCATTCTCTCTTTTTTGTTTGTTTGTTTGATTCTTTGGTTTTGTTTTTTGCTTGAGCTAGCTTTCTATTGCTTGCATCCAACAGAACTATCACCATTAGTATATTAGCTAGGCTTCTTTGGTAGCAAGCAACAGAAAATGATTCTGGTAAACTTACATTATAAAAAATACGTGTGTGTGGGTGTGGGTGTGGGTGTGTGGGGAGTGTATAGTTACCTACTTAATTGATTCATTCATTCATTTATTATGTGGAGCTCAGTAATCAAAGGAATTGCAGAGACAAGAATAACCAGAAACCAGAACAGCTCTGACCCTTGAATGGACAATCTCCTCAGGGGGCAACTTTGGGCATGAATGAAAACAACTATGTTCAGTCCTTATGTCCAAGCCCAAGATTCAAATTTTGGTGAGTGTAGCCTGGGCCACATCCCACCCTTGGCCAGAGGAGAGGGAGGACCTTGATGGACCATCCATCGAGACCATAAGCAGTAGGGGAGGAGCAGCTGGTTGTCTAAGGGGAAATGGGGCCATGGATATCAAACGGGAAATTTTAAAGCCTCCATTTAAAACACATCTGTCATTTATGTTTCTCTCTCACAGCGATGTTTTTCTCTCTCTCTCTCTCTCTCTCTCTCTCTCTTCCTTCCTCTCTCTAAGATAAATTAAAAATAAAATACAGCCTTGACTGGTTTGGCTCAGTGGATAGAGCGTCAGCCTGCGGACTGAAGGGTCCCAGGTTCAATTCCAGTCAAGGGCATGTACCTTGGTTTCAGGCATATCCCCAGTAGCGGGTGTGCCGGAGGCAGCTGATTGATGTTTCTCTCTCATCGATGTTTCTAACTCTCTATCCTCTCCCTTCCTCTCTGTAAAAAATAAATAAATAAATAAATAATCGATAAAGTATATTTTTAAAAATAAAATAAAATACATCTGTCACTTTAAACTCTAAAAATAAAATAAATAAAACATATCTGTGACTCCCATAATTAATATCCAAGCTTTTAAACTTGGCTTATAAACTCTCTCCATTACTCATTTATTTGTTCCACCTTCAACTTTATAATCCTGGTGGAAGGAATAACTCAGTTCCTTCGAAAGAGCCATACTTACTCTTACCTCTTACCTCCAGGAGTTTGCATGTGCTGTTCCCACTGCCTGGAACACTGCTCTCCACTCACCACCACCCCCTTGCCAGGCCAACTTCTACTTCATCTGTCGCCTGGGTATCACTTTCTCCTACAGACTTCCCACTCTCTCAAGGCAGGATTAGGTGCTTTGTGACCATTGCTGTCCCACTTCCTAACACTAGTCCAACTGCCCTGGAACTGTCTGGCTCTTCTGCTAAGCCTGGCTTTGATTACACAGGCTGTGTCTTCTCTATTCCCCATTGTAACCCCAGGGACCAGGATATAGTACAGTGATGGCGAACCTTTTGAGCTCGGGGTGTCAGCATTTTGAAAAACCCTAACTTAACTCTGGTGCCGTGTCACATAGAGAAATTTTTTGATATTTGCAACCATAGTAAAACAAAGACTTATATTTTTGATATTTATTTTATACATTTAAATGCCATTTAACAAAGAAAAATCAACCCAAAAAATGAGTTCGTGTGTCACCTCTGACACGCGTGTCATCACTGATATAGTAGGTACTCAATCAGTATTTCTTGTTAACCAGATCTCAAAATAGATTCAGATGGATCACCATCATATGCATGCAAACACTTGACAGAGGGTCTTGCATCTAGAAAGTTCTGGATGGAAGGCGCTAGGACTGTTACTTTCTCATCGTTTGACCACACGCCTTTGCAGAAATTGTTTTGAATCCTTGCACACACCCAAAGTCCAGCATTCTAGTTCTTCTTTGGCAATGAGAAA